ATACGGGCGCTCCGCAAGGCGCCCATGCGCGCGCACCCCAGATGGCTCCGATTGACGAGATTTGCTGCAGAGAAATATATCTCGGGTACGCGACATCATTTATGGATGTATCCTTTGCCGTATCTACGATTTAGAATGGGTTTGAGGAGGAATACGAGGTCGGGGAGCATGCAAAGTGCTGCCCATCCATCTATTCCTCCCTAAGCCCATTCTCTTCTGGCTACTCTGCCAGAGCGTGCTCCCCCGGTGTGATAAATATGTAAGAGCAAGTTCCCTATTGAAAGGGATGTGTCAGTGAGTAATTGAGAATTTTGCGCCCATTCCAAGGGCCTGGGTCCATCAGTCTAAGCAGCCCACCCTCAGACCTTAGTTCACACAATATTCACATCTGATCTGCTCTCTAAATTTTAAGTCGCCGTCCCTGACATTATGACGGCTCCCTGGACTCGCTTACACTCACAGACGCTTACTGCCTGATTTACACAGGCTCCAGACTGCTCACACTACCTAGGGTACAGTACAGGTCTAGACTACATCCCCCCTCGTTCCCCCCGTCCCTCGGCCATGCGCGCCGCCGTCCCAACGTCCAGAGCCATCCATAGAACGCGCTGAGACCGCCGGAGCAATTTCCCGGACGGCCTCAGCATTCTGGTGGGTGCTCTCCTCCTGGTACCCACTCCCACACTGTCACCGCCCTCCCGACGGCGTCGGGTGTGGAGACAGCTTCTGACCGCAGTAAGTGCGCGACCGGGCGGCCTATCCCACTCTGGAATAGTCCGCCGCCCGCGTCGCGCACTGTGCAACCCTGCAGCGGCTGTGGCGGCAGCAGGGTACCCTTCTGGTGTTCCGCCCACCTCGTGCACGCCTCGGCTGTCCTGGGGCGCGCGCGAGGTCCGCTAACCATGGCCTGCATGCGCAGGAGTCTTCGTGACCGCTGCGCATGCCCCTGGGCGTGCAACGGGGAGGCAGACGACCGCCTGCCTGCCCGGTGCCCACCCGGGGTGCCTCTCTTTCCCATCCCCTCGATCCACTCACCTTCGCGTTCCTGGCGACCTGGAAGACACACCCTACTCTCCTGTGCATCGTGCACCCGTCGCGCCGCGCTGCAAGCCTCGCAATTGGCGAGAGTGGCCCCAGGGGGGCCACAGGACAACGGTGAGTACTCCGAGCTTGTAATGTGCCAGGAAACACTCACCCATCGTTCTCGACACGCCCATACTCACGGGGAATGTGCCCACGCCATGCGAGGCGCGTCGCTGCACTCGTGGAAGCCTCGCGAGTGTTTTTGCGACGTGTTCGCGGAGGGCGCCGTGTCCCGCGCAGGGCATGCGCGGCGGTGTCCTTCGCGCCGAGTTGTAGACGTCTGCTGCGACACGAATACATTCCATTCAAGCCAGCATGGCATGGCCTGAGATGAGTGCTTTGCTCGTCCCGAAATATCATCGTATTGCTCACAATCTCAGTCCCAGACATGCCCCAGGTCAACACTTTCCCCCGACCACACACCATCCCCCATCGCTCGTCTCATCCCATTCTCCACTGCCCTGCATTCCCCCGACCCTCCGGTGAAACCACGTCGCTCGCGCGGCCGCAGCCACGTCTCAATGGGCCCTCATTCCGAGCGATGTGTCGCCCATCCCCCGCCGCGAACACCCCTCCCGCCCCTCGACGCGCCGCGATACGAAGCCCGCGTGGTGCTCGAAACACGTCGAAACGAGCAGTAGACTCGTCCTCCACTCGTACGTCCCGCCGCGCGCCCGTACGACCCCTCGACGGTGCCCTCGAAGACCCTCCTCGCGCCGATGCACGTGTGCGCGCAGTAGCGCTCTAGGTACGTCCATGCCCTCGACGACGCTCGCAAACACGATTCCTGACATGACATACACTCCCCAGACGCGCCTGCCGCCCTTCGTCGCCGCCACGGCCACGGGTCGTCCTCCTGGCGCAGGGCCATCTCCATCCCGACGTCTCCGGCCCCGCTATCGAAGTCCTGTGCGCGCCGACGCGGTCCGCGCCCGTCCGACTTGGTTTCCTCGCACCCTGGAGGCCCTGGACGGAGGCGTCGAGGCGCACCGCGATGCGCACGCGTACGAGTGCGCACGCGGCCGTGCGAGGCGGCGGGAGGCCCGGTTCGCGACGTCCAATGCATGCGGCGGATTTGCCGCGTTCCGCGAAGGTTTGGGCGCGAAGAGAAGGGATCTGCATCGACGTACGTTTCCGGCTGTTCTCGCGGCAAGCGGATGCAGACTTACCAGTGGTGGATGTGTGCAGCTTCGCGAGGGCGTACAGGCACCATCGAGGCAGGATGACGAGCACTGCGGGAGGAGACGTGAGCACGGGGCAAGGGCAGGACATGGGAAACGGACCTGCTTGGTGTCGACGAGGTGCACGGCTCGCTCGTATCGCCGCGGCCGCGCGAGTCTTGACATCCTTTCCCACCCGCGGAGACCGGCCTTCTCGAGCGCTCTGTCCGCGCAGAGGAAGCCTTCGATACACGACTCGGGGCGCCGATGCTTCGTGTGCCGCCGCGGTCTTGTCGTCCGGGGACGGGTGGGTGCGCGGGAGCGCTTCGCAGCTTCGCGAGATCTGCGAAATTGACGTGAGCACGGAGTCTTCGCTGCTCGCGGGGACCAGCACAAACTTACGAGATTCTTGCAGATT